ACAACGACGTGAACCAGAATACAAGTACTGAGAATTAAAAAACACACCCCATGGAAGAGCAAGAATCAGCTAGTGGGTCAGACTCTGACTGTGAGGTATTTTCATTACATGTCCTGTCCGCCCTCCTCCTTGTCTGTAATTGTTCGTTGTAACTTTAGGAGTTCATGTATGTAGGTATCTCAGTTTAGATGTTTTTTATGTATGTCATTATAGCTCATGTCAAAATTAAAACTTTTTTTGATTTTCGGATCCTTGACAGAGTTAGAAGCAGTAGATAGGGAATCCTCTGAAGATGAGGCACGCGGTACATACCTTCATTTTGTTGTGCTGTAGACTCTAGTTAGAAAAATGCTGGGAACTAGGAGGGAGAAGATGGAAAGGTCTAATTAGGGTAGTATGGGCTTTTAAGAGAGAGATGACAATGAAGGCGTTGATAGTGATGATCATGATAGTGAGAGCTCTCTGAATCCCATCAGGGAGTTTAAGAGAGCGATTCATTTGAAGATGAGGTTGGTGCTATTGCTGCTGTTTTAGAAGATAAACATTTCATTGCTATTCCTATTTTTTTGTAACCCTTTAGGTGGCATCTCAAAATACATTAGGAGATGTTGCATTGGAGTGGTATAGAAAATGAGATGCATATTTGATATGAGATTACATTTACTAGGAAGAAGATAACAAGGAAAGACGATATAAGATGAGTTCTTTTTCATTTTCCTTTAATGGACTACTTTAATTCTCAGGCCCAAGATCTATGGTGTATAATGAGTAGGAGATAGAGCTAACTAAAGAAGACACCAGACTTATTCGTAGAATGGTGAAAGGGCGAAAGGCACCTTCTGCTTAAAAAATTGACATACATAGAAAATTAAGAAGTGCAATATTTGACAAGGTTTCCATAATCATCAATTAAAACTCATAGCCTTCTAAGTCTTCTTCTGAGCACATTAACCGTCTTTTTTCGTGTTGGCTCTCTCATATGTTCCATACCTTTTCTTTCCTCAGAGTCGTTCTTTTTTCTCTTCTTTTATTGCATCATCCAATGACTTCTCGAGGAATGCATTGTCCTTCTTGAGTTCAGCCACTGTCTTCTTGTGTTCAGCCAATGTCTTCTTATGTAATACAATCTTTTTCTCAAGTTCATTCACAGTCTGTTTGGGAACATGATTTTGCTAGGGTATATCTGAATTTTAACATCTTAAATTCAATTTTACTATTAATTTTTACATAAAATAAAATGTAATTGAATTTAAATAAAATACATATATTTCACTCCAAAGTATTTGAAAAAGATAACAACGGGTATTTGAAATTTATCCTTAAACCCACGAATTTCAAAATTGAATTTAAGACTCAGCACACTCTCCGCACGCCGACCGCAATGAAGCCTGCCTGCTCCACCCTGTCTCCTCCCTTATTCATCATCTAGGATTCAAGATCCTTGAGCATCTGCTGTGCCCTTTGTTTTGCTGTAAGGTGCATTTTAATTCTAGGTTTAAAGTTTGAATTCTTTCTCTTAAATTGATAATCAGTTCAAAGAATATATTTTAAATATATATTTTAAAAAATAATTTTATAAAATAGATTGTATACAACTTACTTATAAAAGTGCTTAAATATCTTTAAAATTTATATTATATTATTTTTTAAAAAATATTTAAATAATTTTAAAAAATCAAGTGCATATAATCCATCCTATAATATTATGATATTTTAAATACATACTCTAAATATAAATGTATGTTCTCAAACGTAACCTAACGAATTCAAGAAAACAATGAAACTCAAGAATCCAGGAGATGATCGCTTCAAGGGGTAGGAGAACTTTTTACAACGGAATGTACTGTATCACATAAACGAGGTGATGTATCTATTTATCCAAAAGGAATAGAATAAACTTAAGAAGTTATCCGCAATAAATGAGGCATATTGGTTTTTACTCGAGGAAGAAGACAAGAAGAAGAGTTCAGCAGAAGAGGAGACATGTTCGGTGGCAGAGCAGCCTAATTTGGATGAACTCAAGAAGAAGATTTCTGCAACAGAAGAGACAAATCGGTTTTTAAGAGGCTCTTCGGATGAATTCAAGAAGAAGATTTCGGCAAAAGAAGACGCATGTTGTGTTGCGCAGGCAAAATCCGATCATAGCTACTACCGATCATGGGGTGGTCCTTTCCGTACATCGGCTTCGCCAGCAGTGATACAGCTAGACTTTTAGGTGAGAGGCCAAATTATAAAATTTTTAAAAGATGTAATAAATTCATATCAATATAATTTATATTAATTTTTAACTATTAATTATGTAATTTATTAGTAAAGTTATGTATACTCTTTTTTCTATATTATTTTTAATTAAATAAATAATTCACTACTGGAAAACGCGGCATAAGCGACAATACTATATTCGACAGCCACATTGTTGTCGAAAATGTGTACATAATCGACAGAAAGATTGACGAAGATGTAAAATTGACGATGAT